TATCCAGTCTGTCCAAATTCAATATGTCTTATTGGTCCATCCCAACCCAAAGCCAGTCCCTTAACACCCTTATTCTCAACATGTAGAGCCTTCTTGGCTGACAATTAGGCTACTATGTGGAAAGTTCTCGGTTCACCAAGATGCTTGGTAATTTGTCCATTAAATCCATCCTTGGTAACAAATATTACAACTTTATAATCTGATCTAGATCAGGTCTCATCCTCAATTATTTATGTGAATTAAGATGATAATTTGAATTTAGAGTTGTGTTGTTGGTTTGGTTGCCAACCTGTCAACTTCCATACATGTTGGCCAGTTAATTATAGAAGTTTCTATTTCTATAGTACTATAATAATCGGGTCTACCAGTTAGTAGAGGTCAGTTGGGACTGAGTATAGAGTAGAATGCAAACAAAAGCTTTGGAMGGTTGCATGTTGGGAATATTTCTTATACATATATGTTAAATTCATGGGAAGATGTTTCCAATGTACGATTAGATTCCTATACTTGCAGAGTGTGTGCAAAGTTTTTGCATGTAGAAAATTCCATCATTTCACATATTATAGAGCTTGCGGTTCCATCAGTTCTACAGGAAAAAAAATGGGCTGTCTAGCTTGTGATGTCCACAAGTTAGTTCAATATGAACTTCATGCAATGGTAATAGTGTTGGAAGTGTGGCTATATGGACTAATGTGTCACATGGGGAGCAAATGGGATTTCCTACCCACACTTTATTCGCCTTGAATTGCAGCCATACATTGCCATCTTGTATTGTGAGATATGTACTACGGGTGGGGTGTGGGTAGAGAAAGTGAGTAGGAAATATGGGTTCCATAGGGAGCGCCTTCGAACGGCCTGACCCCATGTCTCTGCTTTGGGAGGAGTTATGTCCGATGACTATTTCAATTACCAGATCATCGAGATGGTTACTCGGCGTCCCTCTAAACTGTGGGCTCTTTGTGGTAAGATTAATGGACCTCACTTGCACCCTAACATGGGACCCTGCCATTTCTTGGCCAAATTGACCAGGCTTACATGTCTCATTTCTTCTTCAATTGATTTTAATTTTTAAGCTCCAGCTGGTTTTAGGGTGGCATTTTCCAACTAGGACCCCAAAACGGGACCAACTAGGTCCATTGCCAGGACGAAAACAGTTAAGGGTGTAATGCTCGTCTCAAGAAGCAATTGCTTAGTGGTACGATTTGATATCTTTTAGGTTCTCAACTTTCTAAGACAGGGTTTTCTGGTTTTTTCCTCCATTAAAAGCAGACAAGCCACAAAACAAAAGCAAAGCAAAGCAAAGATTAAAATATATTTTATTATATGGAAAGACACGACCTTTATACTTTAAGTAACATTTCCATTAAAGTTAGAGACACTTAAATCACTCAAAGATTCGATGCTTCACAAGCACCTATTTTTTTATTAAAATTATTCTACCTTTTTTTTTGTATATATGATTTGATTAAACAGCACATGAGACATGACAATCCAGTTTTGGCACATAGAAATCATGTAAATTGACATTTTTATGCATCCCTTTTACAAATTTTGGTAAGAAAATTTCTTCATTTTTCTGTTTCTCTTATTTTCTATCAAACCAAACATAACCTTAGAGCGTAATCTGTGATGGAGTTTTATTATGAATTAATTTCTCCTTATTATACTTTTCCATGGTTTGGCAGGCCTACCAAAAATAATACAAGTATTTTTCAACCCTCAGCTTCCTTGGATGCTACCTCAAGTAGGTTGCTTTTTCTTTGATTTATTGGGTTTTGTCTCCATTTTTCCCAAGCAATACGAAATGCACTTTCTGGACCACTTTGGTTTAGCTCAACTAGATAGGAGGTCCATTCTTCTCTTTAGGGATATTTTAATTTGGTTCACTATTAATTACTAAAATGTTTGGAGAAGGTTTAACAACTTAGACTGTGTTAACACTGATCAAGCATTAGGTTATTAGGAGTTGGCATGATTAGAAATTGTAAGACCAAAGCAATTTCAGTTCTTGGCAGCCAAAACCCTTTTCTAAGATTGATTTAGGGATACTCCCCTCAACAATTGAGGCCATGTTTCCTGTCCTATTTTCTCATAATTTCCATCATAATTTCATTTGTATTGCTTTTCTGCAGTACAGCCTTGTAGTTTGCACAATAAATTATCATTGCATTGGAGGAATATTACTGGCTGACAGAATCCCTTGATATGGGGATTTAGCTCTAGCTCTTTTAACATATAGAGATAAATCCAAGATCAAATAAACTATGAACAACATATTGCTTTGTGGGTCATTCTCAACTATTCTTCCTACCCCCCATAAACTTATCAGATCAGATATTGATTCTGCAACTTAACATCAAAATATCTGCTCCATTATCTGATGTACAGATAAAGTTGTCACTAAGCAAATTTATTAAATGTAATAAAGTATTGACAACAAAAAAAAGTTGATGGCCTAAATAGCAGTTAGATAGCAAGTTGAATCAGAAACACAACAACCAAGAAGGAAGACATGGAATTAATGGCCCATGCTGAATTGCTAATTAAGGGAGCTATGGTCCTTTTTATGTTTTGATAGATGTCAAGCAGGAAAAAAAAGCAACAGTTGAATGACCCATAAATTTACCTTAGTTCAATGGTCGATGCTGATGTTGAGCAAGTGAATCTCATGTTTCCCTTTGTTTGATGGATTAAAAAAAGGCAACAATGCTGATCAGGACTGGGGTCTGTGTCAGTATTCAATTCTGATGTATCTATTAGTCTTATCAAACATCAGTTTTTTTATTTATTTATTATTTTTTTTCTTGTAGTTTGGGAGGGATTTCAATAATACATTCTTGATAAATGAATGAATGAACTGCTGAAATGCAGATTATAGAATATTATATATGATATGAACAATCCTTTTGGAACATTATGACTGTAGTTCATCTTTCTTGGGAAGGTGTGTTTAGTGGCATAGGAGTCTCACATGAATTGACATTCAGATAGCTTAGCTAGCTTGTGATGGTCAGATTGCACCTCCTTGGATTCATCTATATCAACTTTTTCTCAAATCAGTCTTAATCCCTACTATTGGGACTATTGGGTTTGATCCAACATTCATCTATATCAAATGATTCCAATAGTCCAGTGATTAGATATACCTAATATGAAGACTATTTCTACTGATTGGATGTCTGAATCACCCAAGTGGGCTAGTGTTTGGTATAGATTAAGGATTGCAAATTATAAGAATGTAAATCACTTAGTGTTGATTTTCTTCTTACAATTCCACACAAGCTATTATTGGTAGGTAGCCTGCATCCATTTTTGGCCTGCATCTATTCATCTAGTTGGTTCCATAGTGAATTGCTTTCTTAATTTGCTTTCCTTGTTTGCAGTGCAATTTTGTTTGTATTAGTACAAATGCATTGGAGACTGGGAATGCAAATGAGAACAGTGCATATGAAATATATTCTAATTGATCTGGTAGACTGTAATTAATTACTACACTTACTTGCATAGGGCTTTCTATGTAGAACAATTAGTTTCATTTCATGCTTGATACATATGTACTATGTTGAGTTTTGATCCTTTTAAGATCTTACAGTCACAATTAGTGGGTCTGGTAAGGAAAATGAAAAACAAATAAAAAGAAAAAAGTATAATCCCTAGTGTTGCAATTTTCCTTAAAGAATTCTTCCACTTAGTTACTACTCTCCTAGTATGAGCCCTCACTCTTTAGTACTCTTTATCTTTCATAAGAAGTTCAACCGAATCTTCATGGTTAGTGCTCCTTATTCTATATTTTTTTTCCTTTGAAAGACTGAAACAAGAGTGTGTCACAAAGTGGAGAAATAGGCTGAAGAGGATGAACATCAAGGCCTTGTCTATTTTCTGTGAATTTTCATTTGCACTATGCAAATTAAAACATGGGAATGCAAATGAGTCTAGTGCAATTTTGACTTGCTTTTGCTTTAAGTTTTACTTTGGTTTGTTTTATAGTTAGTGTAAATGAAGTAACATAAAACCTAGAAGGAAGCAAAACGAATCTTGAAACAAAAGTGAACCAAAAATTGCACTCTTCCCATTTGCATTCCCAACCATTTGTAGTAGGGCAAACAAAATTGCATTGGAAACAAACAAATTAGGGTTGGTTGATTTATTTTCTCTTCTAGTTAATCACATAAAAARCACACAACCTTGAAAATGCGTTCTATTATTTAAGAAAAAAAGGATTTGAACTGGTTTTGATTCGGATTGGGCATTTTACCATTATTCATTACAAAATTTACATTGATGCAAATAAATGGGTTCAACGTAAATTCTAATTTACATTTGCTTTAGGTAATTAGGTTTGGCTTTGTCTTGTTTACATATGAGAAGTAGAATAGGAAGTAAACTATGTGGTCACTAACTCCCTATTTTACATTTTCTTTCAAAATAAATGAGAATGGAGGCATGAAAAAGATTATTTATTTGGGAGGAGCAAGGTCCTAAGCAAATGAGGTGGTCGCCACTTTTATATGAGAGAGAGTAAAGGTAGAAGAAATTTTTCATCAATCTTTTAGAAGCAATATTTGAACTGAAAATGGGATAAAATATGCAAATTTTACACAGAAGAGTGAAAATCAAAGAATGCAAAACTGAACCGAGTAGAAAATTTGTATCCAGTTTAGATTTGCACCGCAAACAAACATTGCGTCAAGGGTTGACGGCGTCGGGTCAAGTCTTAATTTTGTAATTCTTTGCTCAATGATTATCATTATCAGTAATCACTTTAAATTTACCTAAGCTTGATAGTTAATTAACCACCGAGAAAATCAGATATCGAAAAGGCAAAAAGAATGGAGAAATTGGAGAGAGAGAGAGAGAGACGACGGGTAGACACTAACCAAACGGTCGAGAAGCTGATAGTAATGTACCCCAACACCGGACACATGGGACCCACCATCATCACTACCTCCACCACACAACCTACCTTTCCTAATGCTTGCTGTCCAATACAGACCCCTCCCCCGCCCCCCTAATACATTCTTTCCGCCTTCTCTTCTCTTTCCCTGTCTCCTCCCTCTTCCATTTTCGCCTCTCTTTAAGCCTTAACCCCCCCCTTAAACCTCTCAAATCTCTCTCTCTCTCTCTCTCTCTCTCTCGGAAGACTTGCATAAACATTTTTTTCTCTCTTGACATCTTCCTCTTCTTTCTCAGTATCTCGGTTAGCATCTAAGTGCTGTTTTGTTATCAGAGAAAGTTTTAATGGATGGTGCTATGGGTCTGTTAGGTGGTGGTGGTGGAGGAGGTTCGTCGGGCGGCTCGACGGATGGGTCGATGTCGACGGTGTCGAAGGCGGAGGTGGTGGAGCAGGACTATGTGGGGTTGATGTCTGAGGTGTCTTCTTACCCAGCTGAGGCTGAGCTTGAGTTGGGTCTTGGGTTGAGCCTTGGTGGTGCAATGAAAGCTAAGCCTTGTGCCTGGAGGGAGTATGGTAGGATCTTGACTGCTAAGGATTTCCCTTCTGTGGTTTCTCGTGGTTCTTCTGCTTCTTCCTCTTCTTCTTCTGGTAGAGGTACTTCTACGACTGCTATTACTGGAACCAAGAGAACTGCTGATACTGTTGCTCAGGATGTTGGGCATGCTAATGGTGCTAGGTAAGACATGAACATATAGAAATTTAGGCCTTTGATTTTCCCCATGTTAATGTATTCTTAGTTTTCTATGTTTTGGATTTCTGGCTATGGTATCTCATGATTTGACCCTGTTTCTCTGATGTGTTTAATGCTTTATATTATCAGTTGTAAATGGATTGGTGATTTGGTTTCATGATGTGAACGGGATTCTATTTCWTCATTTTGTGTATTTTCTACCTTGTCTTTCCTTGGCAGGCTATTCGTTTTCCTTGTTTTTGATTTTTTCCTCCCTTTTCCCTGTGAAGTTCTATTTCTTTTATTGAGGTTAATAGATTTTGATCAGAGATCGTGGTATTGTTTAATGAGTTTTCTTTATGTTTCCTTGATTTTCTATTAGTAGTTATCAACGGATTGGTGATTTAATTTCATTGTATGAATGGAATTTTACTTCCTCATTTTGGGTTTTCTCTACTTTTTTCTTTTTCTTCGGCAGGGTAAGGTGTTTGTTTTCTTATTCTTTTCTTCCTTGTTTTAGTTTGTTTTTATTCCCTTTTTCCGTGAGGTTTTATTATCTTTTATCGAGGTTAGTGGATTTTGATCAGAGATTGCAGTCATTTTACATGATTTTCCTTGATGGGGTTCTCGAGTTCTGATAGTTAGTTATGAATCGATATTAGTTATTTGGTTTGATGATTTGAGTGGGGTTTATTTCCTCATTTTGGGTGCTGTTTAGCTTCTCCCCTCTCCCAGTAATGGCTGGTGTGGTTATTCCCTTTATTTTCATCTTTTTTTATTATTCATTCTTTTGTATATATATTATTTATTCTCTTTTCCCAGGCGAAAATTGGTGAACCTTAATTGGGTTGAAATGATTATGATAGATTAAGGTAGATAAGTTTCTGCTTCCTTGTTTTGCACTCACTCCTTCATTCTTTCTAAGTTTGTGCCTAGGATACTATTATTTTTGCTGTTTATTTAGTACCATTTCAATCCTTGATTTGCGTTGTCATATCTTGTTCTCGAATTTTATGCTTTTAGTGAGGATTGGTGTTTGACTATCTACAATTTTTGGTTGGTCTTAGTTTTCATCTATGTAATTTTTTTTTTTTTCCTTTTGGAAGCAGTCAGGTTGTTGGGTGGCCACCCATAAGGGCTTATAGGATCAACAGCTTGGCTAGCCAGGTGAAGGCATCCACCGCTGAAGAAGATGATCATTCCATATTTGGGAATGATAAAAACAAGAATTCTGCCAAAAAGGATACTAACAACAGTAACAACAAGAACAATAGCAACATTCAGGAGAAAGGGTGTCGGAGGAGTTCCCTATTTGTGAAGGTGAATATGGATGGAGTACCAATTGGGAGAAAGGTGGATCTGAATGCTCATTCCTGCTATGAGTCACTTGCACAAACATTGGAGGATATGTTCCATAGACCCACCACAACTGTTAATGCTAATCGTGAGTTCTCATGCATTTCTTCTTTGTTCTTTGATTATAGAAATGACTGGTGGACCAAGGATTTAATTCTTTTGGGCACTATCAGCACATGAATTATCTTGCTCAGTCACCTGATTTCTTTTATTTATATTTATGCATCTTGATGCGGATTGTGTGATTTACTGACTGGTCATCAGTTGGTGTTCTGATGCTGCTTTATTCATATATGGCTATTGTAATGTGTTTTGTATAATTAGGTTCAAGTGGAGAAAAGGAACACAACTTGATGGTAGAAGCAGCAAAATCCTCCAGACTGTTGGATGGTTCATCTGAGTTTGTGCTGACTTATGAAGACAAGGAAGGAGATTGGATGCTTGTCGGAGATGTTCCTTGGGGGTATGTGTCCCTTTCATTCAGTTCATGACAAACACTCTGTACAGTAGACACCACATGACATTTGTCTATAGCGGTTTAGGACATTATGTGCCTTGCACTGATAGTGGTGTATTTAGGGGTAATCATGGGCTCGGACTGCTTGTCCAGGCTTAGGCATTTACATCTATTATAAGGGTCATAGCCCATGGAATGGCATAACAATATTTATACACCACATGACATTTGTCTATAGCGGTTTAGGACATTATGTGCCTTGCACTGATAGTGGTGTATTTAGGGGTAATCATGGGCTCGGGCTGCTTGTCCAGGCTTAGGCATTTACATCTATTATAAGGGTCATAGCCCATGGAATGGCATAACAGTATTCATGTAGCTGACCCCGCATAGTTGAGATAAGGCTCGGATGATGGTGATGATGTTTGCTTAATGTAGTACAAAATATTACATTTAATATTATAATGCATATTATATGTATCATGTTACAATATTTATACATATAATTTTTTGGAATAAGGTAAGGTAATTTATTCAACACAGAAAATGAGAAATAATACAACAAAACCCAGACCAATAAGATGTAATATAATATATAATACGTGCACATTTATAATTCGGGCAGTCTTAAAGTGTCAGACCCAGGCGTGAACTGCAAGTTGGGCCTGGGCCTGGGCACAAAACCTAGGCCCAAGTTGGGCCTGGGCACAAAACCTAGGCCCAAGCCTGGAAATTTGCAGGCCAGGTTAGAAATGATCATCCCTAGTTTGGATTAGGGTGGATACAGAATGGGGAATAAATTAGTAGCCCAATTCTGAACAGTTCCTATATCCTGCTGCTGGGTTCAAAAAATGTTGTTCAGAGTCCAGATACTTGTGGAATTGTATGCACTAATCTGCGGTTTCTGGATGCATTTTGATTGTCTTCACCTGCAAATTTCAGCCTAATCCAAATACAGTCTTATGGTTTTTAGTATGGTGGTACTGTTAGATTTTATTTTATAGACTACAACATTTTTGTTTATTTTGCATATTTAATACCTGTCACGCCCCATTGTCCACAATACCTTAAGATCTGCCTTTATCTTGCTTATCTTCAAAAAAATCCGGCTTTGTTTTCACATAACATCCTTTCAGTTTATCAATAAAATTTAGAAATATCCACCTTTAAACAATAAGATAAACACAAAGGGATCCTTATAAATAAATAATTGCTTGGGGGGATTCAAAAAGAATGCAAATGATGTAGCATGATGTATGAAAATTATGATAGCATGGAGAAAATAATGCCATACATTGTCCTCAGGCCCCTGTTGCTGACTGTAGATAAATAATTACAGGCATTCATATGTATATGGTTACAAAGTCAAGTTAATTTTTTTTTTTTATTTCATTGGATGGGTGAAGAAATTCTTTTTAGAAGATAAAAATCAAGGAGAAAGAGTACATAAAGGGGATGAGACCATAAAAACTTAAATGGTCAAGAACCGAAGTTCCGTTATTGCCACCTAAACTTTAGGAGAAATACGACAAGAAATCCCATAACCTGAAACCTGGTCGTTTTGACTCCCAATGTATTTTCATTGCTTAGGCTTGTATGGTCCTCCATATGAGGACCTCCATTCCTTCTGGCTTCTGCCCACTCTCTCACTTGGTTCTCAAAGCAGAGGAGGAAGGGTGGGCAGAAGGTACCACATGCCCTCTGTCCCGCACATCTATCCAGAAGCAAGTGTAGTTCACCACTTCTATTGAATGTTCCCATCTCTTGGCAAAGGTCATGTGAATGTGCAGTTATGCTTATTGTTAATTCCTATCTCCAAGTTATCAGCTAGCAAATTGGTTAACCTTTATATGGTATTCACTCTAGTAGCCAATGCTTTAATCTTTCTGATGTGATGTTGAAGCAGCCAAGCTACATTCTTGTCCACCCAGTGAACCACCTGAACCTCCCCTCTACCTCCACCTTAGAGCCAAGAGAATGCATCATTATCAGGCCTTATATAAGGACAGAATCTCCTCTGATAGAATGCCCTCTAGTGGGACTTAAGTTAACCATAATGTCTCCTTCATGGTCTCTAAACAACCCTCCAACTGAATGCCCTGGATTACCTGGATAATATGGCCAAAGTTAACCTTATTTACTCCTAGGGAAGTGGTTAACCACTATTTTGGAATCCAGGGGACTCATCTATATACATAAAACCCCCATCATATAGGGAATCCAATTAGTAAATTTTAGAATCATAGTAAGGTGAAAAAATAGAAGGGTAGATGATATATATCACCAATTTCAAGTTTTACTTTTCTATTGACACGGTTAACTAATACTCCATTATTGCCATGTATATGACTGTTATGTTTTGTGTCCAGGATGTTTCTAAACACTGTGAAGAGGCTTAGAATCATGAGGACCTCCGAGGCCAATGGACTTGGTGTGTAGATATCATATCAACCTTGAGTGCACATTTTATTGTTAAGATTTACTTTTTTTCTTTTTTTCTGAAGATAGGAGTTACGAGTTAGCTTCTTTTTCTTTGTTTTTTTTTTTTTTTTTTGAAAATAAGAGTTGTCTGTTGCTTTTGCAGCTCCAAGGTTTCAAGAAAGGGATCAGAGACAAACCCCAGCTCCAAGGCTTCGAGGCTCCAAGCCCATCTAGCACTGTCATTTCAATTATCTTGGTAAACCCCAGTAACATGGAGAAAAACCCACAATTAAAAGTAAAAATCAATAAGGAAAAAATAGCCCAGTAAAGATCAGTCAGCTGCCATCACTTGCTTGCCTCGTCTCTTTTTACCCGTTCTCTGTGAATTATAGCTTTTTTTTTATTTTTTTTATTTTTTTTGTTGTAAGGCATATTTGTCTTAGGTTTCGCATTTCTTATGTGTAGTGTCTTTGTTATACATACACACTTGGCTGAATGCTGCTTTCTCATACTGTAAATATGGGACTGCTTGATTTCAAGGTTTTGAATTTAGTTCAACCCGAGTGTATTCGGCATTAACTTGTTATGAAAAAAGTTTGCATAGCTTCTAATGCTTGGGATTTCCATTGTCTTGTGTGTTTTTATGTTATATTACATGGTTCTGACTGAAGAAAGATGAGCTACCCACTACTATCAGTCACCATTCTTTATTTGCATTTTCTTGTTGGTCCAAGGAAATAGATATGGCTAATTGTAGGAAAGAAAGCACAGACGCCATATCAGAGTGAGGAAACTAGTGTGAACTGAAATAGATGATACAACAGTGGGAGTTTAGTCGTTTTGTTTGGGTTTTGTAGTATATATATAACCACTTTTGATGGTTTAAAGAGACTCCCAAGGGTCCTGTGAAACCACTGAACAGTGCAGCAACCCGTGTACTGAGAATAGTGGATGTAATTTGGATTGTGGAACTTGAAGGAGCTACCAAGTACAGCTCCAGCTGTGACATCAATGCTTTTGTCCTCTGGCAAAGTGGCAATAGCTTCTTCAACACCCATCCGTTCGTGTATTCTTGGTTGGACTTTGCTGCTTTACTGTAGCTGTGGGTCTGTGACCATGGATCGATCAATTTTTATGATCTGTTAGCCTTTGTATGAAAGTAGACTGACCCTTTTTAAGTGCACTAGTGTCCCCTTTGTCAGGATCCAGGGCCTGCAATTTTTTAAGAAAATTCACTAGGTCAGGATTCAGAGCCTGCAACTTCTGATTGTACGACCACTGAATGCTGGGCCCAGCTCCTCGCAGCTTGCAGGTTGGTCAATTTCTAAATTAGGAACTTGGGCATTGTCAGTATTGATGAAGAAGCTCCTAAAGTCTGCAGAAAAAAAGATCAATTCTAGTTCTTGACTCCTTTGGTCCCCGCCAACGGTTTCTTGTTCTCTGATATAATTTTCCTTTTACTGGCGCATGGCTTTCATTGCTGGCAGGGAGACCCAAACCCAGAAATAAAGGTCTCCTTGAACTTTCATGCTTCACTTTAAACAAAGGGACAAGTTTTGTTTGGTACTTTCCCATCTACTCGTTTCATTGATGAAAGTTGAAAGCAGCCCACCATCAAAATTTCACTCTTTTTATATATTTATGCATGACCTTAGGTAGAACAATTATCATTCAAAATGGGACYAGCACCATCACAGTGGAAAACATGATTGGTACCATTTGTTTGGGGACATCTTCTGCAACTCTGAGAAGCTTCTTTTGACAGAAAATCTTAAACTCCGTTTAAGAGAAGCATGCCTTGGAATATTTTCAAATTTCAATCTTTGACCGACTGCCTACGCTTCTCATCATCACTTTTCTTTTCTTTTCTTTTCTTTCTTTTTATTGATCTGAACCGATATTATATTAAGCTAAGCAACTGAACTATTATTACAAAGTCTTAACTTCTTTTTGAAGGCTACAAAGTCTTTACTTCTAAAAGATGTGCGTGGTGCGACTCTCCGGTCTTTGGAAATGTTCCATGATCTTCTGAAAGATGTGGGTTTCCCTCCAGTTTGGGGCTTCTTTCCTTTGAATGGCTTAGACTTGGAAGCATGATCGCCTGGAGTCAGATTCGAGGATGACATGTTGGTAGGAATGTCAATCAACTGAGTTTGGGTTGGCCCTGTGCAAATCAAAATCAATTTGAACGGGTTGGACAGACCAATAAGACATTGAATTGGAGCAGTCCAAACTTAATGGACCAAAGTATTTATTGGATTGGATTGGATTTGGTCCATCTGTAATGGATTTATATTGGACTGGGTCGGACTTGATAGTCTAGACATTGAATTGGATCAATCCAGAATGGTCCAAAGTATTCATTGGATGGATTGGACCTGGTCCATCTGTAATGGACTCATACTGGGTTGAGTTGGACTAAAATCCAGTCTATTGACAGCCTTACATGATGGTGCCCTTGCCTCCAGGTTTGTTCCAGTCCTTGTGTGATTGGCCATAGTTCTGCAATCTCAATGGTGGTGGTAGTGTGGTACCCACCTGGATTGAGAATAGGGGTGTCAATTGGACTGGATTTGGTCCAATCCGATCCAGTCTAATGTGAGCCCATTACAAATAGACCTGATCCATTCCAGTCCAATGAATATTTTGGACCATTTTGAACCAGTCCAAAGACACCTATATTCTTATCTTCTACCAATGGACTAGATATTGGCTCAATCCAATATAAATTCATTATGAACGGATCAGGTCCAATCCAATATGTCATATTGGTCCATCTAGTCCATCCAAATTCAATATGTCTTATTGGTCCATCCAATCCGTCCAAATGGATTTTGATTTGGACAGAATCTAACCCAAAACTGATCCATTGACACCCCTAATTGAGAATCGGCCTTTCCATTGTCCAATGACCTTGATTATCTCGCAACAGTCCTGCACCTGTTTTCCCTGGGTTTCCTTTGCTAGTTCCATCAGCATTGACTTTGATCCATCCCTCGGGGGCACATTCCCATTGTATGGCTTTCCAATATGTGTATATTCCTTTTAATGTCCGAATCCATATTAGCTCTTTCATATAAATGATTCATAGCACGGATTCTAGAAGCTAACCAAGTATTGGGACATCATTGGCTAGCTTCTCATCATCACTTCCATGACTAATACAGAGTTATTGGATCCTTGGTTTAATATATAAATCAACTGGCAAATTGGGTTAATCAAGCGAGTAACATTCTTCATCTACTTGTGAATTCAAGGACCCAATATTTTTCTCATGAACTAAACCTAAACCTGTATTATCAATAACAAGCTCATTAATCTAACAAATGAACCTTGTAGATTGGAAACCAATGCCCAAAACCAATGGACAATGGTTTATGTGATAAACCCTCATAAACCATTTGTAGGTTCATCCAGTAATCTATATGGAATGTTTGATTGGGGTAGCCTACATCTCAGATGGGGAATAAATAAAGTTTTGGCTCATCATGAGAAACCCCGTTGATTTACTTATGATAGTTCATAGCTGACCCTCCTGTTCTTTTGGGCCAGTAGCTAAACTGTTTGGTGTAATAACAAGCTCAGTGTGCAAGCTCTGCAACTTACCCACACAATGCAAGATACATGGAGTGGTATGGTCCATAATATATTTCACCCTCTGATTTGAAAAGGGAAACACATGTTCATAGTCCATTTTAGGAACTTATATCCAAAATAATCAATTTAGCCATTTAAACCTGATATATTATTATTACTCTACTGTGTTTCTTAGCAGATTTGGTAACTATCCACAGCCAAACTATTTAATGATCAATTTTTCTACAGTTGATGATCCAGTAGTCGAGATAGTCACTTGGGGATAAAATCTATGGAACCTCAGGCTCTCTGTGTGGTATGGCTAGTGGGCCTCATGTGCATCCTGCTCTTCCCCACCCCAGTTTCCCTTAGGCTAAGTTTGGAAGGAGTACAAATACAAATATGTAGAGTGCAAAACCTTATATTTTGTATCATTTTATATGTATTTACACTGTACATATTTGTATTTGTATTCCTTCCAAACTGAGCCTTATGAACAAGTAAATGCAGATCATTGGAAGATGAGAAATTCTCTTGAGTTTTTTTTTTTCATCTAATTTAAATGAGAAATTCTCTTTTATATGCCCCAACCCTAATCATGTGAGAATGTTCTTTATGTGAATGTTAAGCTGGGACATCACACAATCACTAGAAGATGGTTTGAATGCAAATTCTGGTCCACTCTTGCTCCTGCTTTCATTTTTTGCTCCATATTTTATTTTACTCAAATCATTTATAGTCCCTCCTTATGCACCAACGCAAAGGAAATTAGAKTGCAAATAAACCAGGCCTAAGAGTTTGGTTGTGTACAAGTGCTGCCATTTAGCATTTTTATCCCGGCTTAGGTTTACCAGCCATAGGCTGAGGTGATCAATCATTATCTCTGTAAATTAATCTCACTTAATTGATGCTGCATCTTTCTGCCTATTAGAGTATATCCAGCACACCCAGTTGTGTATATCTTTAGGACTCCATCCTTAGGATAAGATAACAATTATCGTTACAGGTTTAGGATAATTGTTATCCTAATGAGATGAGATCTCTTTGTTATCTTTGTTGGTTGTTATCTAGGACTCTATCTAAGATAGAGTTTCCTCTTTGTAGAACTCTTCTATTATAAATACAGTTCAAGGCCAATTGCCAATTCACTGCACCCAAATATTATTTGTGTTCTCTGATTTTAACTTGGTATTAGAGCTCTGTCGATCCCATGGATTCCAATGACTTTAGTTCTACGTCACAACCATCAACAGGCGCGTCAGCCTCCAACAACATACCAGGTTCCAATTCATTTCCCCATAGTGGGATTCATTATCTTCCTATCAAGGTCACCGATGACAACTACCTGCTTTGGAAGGCACAGTTGCTACTAGTTCTCTACACCAACAGACTGATGGGGTACATAGATGGTTCTATCGTTGCACCTCCTCAGTATATACCAGATCCGACAGATGGAAGTTGGATGATTCTCAATCCAGCACATATAGAGTGGTTTGAGAAAGATCAACTGATCTTATCCTGGATCGTTGCATCGCTCACGGAGAACATATTCGCTCAAGCTGTAGGACATTAATCTTCTCGTAACATCTGGAACGCTCTGGCTAAATCCCTTGCAAATTAATCACGGTCCAGGCTGATGCAATACAGAAGACAACTTCAAAGTCTCAAAAAAGGAGGCATGTTTATTTCTGAATATGTCCGAAAAGCTAAATCCATAGCCGATAGCCTTGCAGCTGTCATAGAACCGGTAAAGATGAGTGATTTGATTCTTTATATACTGGCTGGATTAGGATCCAAATATGAATCTGTTGTTACTACCATTACTAATAGGTCCGATATAGAGGACCTCGATATTGATGATGTTTTAAGCATTCTTCTTGGCCATGAGGGCTGGTTAGAATAGAATGCTACCACAGTTGATTCACCCCATGCGRCCAATATGGCTAATTTTAAAAATAAAAATCAAAATAATAATCAGTACTCCCCTTCCGGGAACACCCGCAGGAGAGGCAGGAGGCGTGGTTCTTCAGAAAACCACATGAATAATGGCAGTAGAGGACGTGGAAAATGGAAATACAATTGTTTGTCAATTGTGCAATAAGTCAGGACATGCAGTGATTAAATGTCATCAGCGATATGATCTCAACTACAAGAATGAGGAGGCAGAACCAGCAGCCTACAACAACAATACTGCTCCCTCTCAGTCTACACTCGGTCCAACCTGGTACCCGGACAGTGGTGCAACACATCACATGACGCCTGATGTCAACAATTTGCAAACTCAATCTGAATATGGTGGGTCAGATCAAGTCAAAGTTGGTAATGGTTCAGGTTTGGAAATTAAGAATATTGGTTCAATTCTGCATACTGCTACTCGTCAGTTTTCTTTAAATAATATTTTTCATGTACCAGAGCTCTCCAAAAATATATTATTTGTTCAAAAATTTGCTCGGGATAACAAATTATTTTTTGAATTTCATGGTGATTATTTTCTTGTGAAGGATTATATGGGGAACATCCTGCTACGAGGAACTAGTAGAGATGGGTTGTATCAGTTTCCGGGCAAGGTGATCAATACAAATTGGTCTTTTGCATTGATTGGCGAAAGTGCTATTGTTGATGATTGGCACAAACATCTTGGGCATCCAGCCATGCGAATTGTGAAGCAAGTTGTTACTCAGTTCGGTCTACCTTATGAAGGTCAATTTTGTTTCAGCTCTAATTTACTTTGTGAGTCATGTCAAGTCAGTATGAGTCATAGGTTACCTCTTGTCTTCTTCAGTTGTTTCTTGTCCACTAGATTTGATATTTTCAGATGTATGGGGACCAACCCCAATTTTATCTAATGTAGGGTTTTGATATTATGTAATTTTCATTGATGCTTATAGTAGATTTTCTTGTTTATTTCCGTTGCAACGGAAATCAGATGTTTTTGATGCATTTTTATCCTTTAAGTGTCATGTTAAAAATCTATTTAATACCAAAATCAAGGCTCTRCAATCTGATTAGGGTGGAGAATATCGGAAACTTTCTTCCTACTTGGAGTCTGTTGGCATTGCTCATCGACTCACGTGTACTCACGCACATGAACATAATGGTTATGCTAAACGGAAACGTTGTCATGTCATCAAAGCAACCTTGTCTCTATTGGCTTCCTCGTCACTCCACTTCTTCTTCTAGGCAGATTCCACCCTTACAGTAGTTTACTTAATTAATCGGCTTCCTACTGCTACTCTCCGACACAAGTCTCCATATGAAGTTTTGTTTGTCTCCCCTCCAGATTACGGGTTCCTCAAAAATTTTGGGTGTGCTTGCTATCCACTGCTTCATCTGTACAATTGGCACAAGTTCAATTTTTGTTCCCAGAAATGCATCTTTCTTGGCTATAGCAACAAACACAAAGGGTATCATTGTCTGCACCTTGAAACTGGGAAAGAATACATCTCCAGACATGTTATCTTTGATGAACATCATTTCCCAGGATACTTTGCGACTGCTCCCACCGAATCGGTTCAGCCAACTGGGGTTTATCTGCAACCGCCGCCTGCACCTCTAGCTGCGCCTTTGGCTTCCACTATAGATTCCCCAACTTTCAAGTCACTATTATAGGATAAATCAGATCTTCCACCACCGTCTGACAACCCTCACCATTCAACAGCTTCCTCCACAGGTATGTCTTCTCCTAAAGTCGAACCTTGTGGGACCCATCCTATGCAGGACATTCTTGTTGTAATAGTCCAAGTTGCTTCTTAGCATTCTCGCCAGCATCCTATGGTCACTCGTTCCATGGATGGATCTCTTCCTCCCCGTTCTCATCTCACGACCAGGTATCCCTTACCACAATTACTATTAGTTCAGTCTTGAGATGATGCTATGGAATCCTCCGGTTATTCAGAAGTAGTCAAATCTGCTCATTGGTGTGATGCCATGACTAGGGAATTTAATGAACTTGTTTCTAATGGTACTTGGTGTCTTGTTCCCTACTCATCTAACATGAATGTGGTAGGGAGCAAATGGGTCTATAAGGTAAAACAAAAGGCAGATGGTACTATTGATAGATACAAGTTACGATTGGTAGCACAAGGTTTTACTCAAATCCTCGGGGTTGACTTTACAACTACTTTTAGCCCGGTTGTAAAACCCGTAACCATCCATACCATTCTCTCTCTTGCCATGATGAATTAGTGGTGTATACATCAGATTGATTTTGATAATTGTTTCTTGAATGGGGTACTTCATGAGGATATCTATATCAAACAGCCCAAGGGGTTTGAAGATCCCTCCAGGTTGACCCATGTGTGCAAATTGCACAGAGCTCTTTATGGACTTCGACAGGTACCACGGGCTTGGTATGCTCGTCTTACTCACCAGTTAGCACAAATGGGTTTTAGAGCCTCTACAGCTGATACTTCTCTCTTTGTGTTCTGTTCCAAGAACGTTACTCTTTATCTGCTTATTTATGTAGATGATGTCTTACTTATTAGGAACTCCCGAAGTGCTATCCATAGCTTCATTCAAGAGCTCTCTTGCCATTTCTCTCTTAAGGATCTAGGATCCGCTGCCTTCTTCCTTGGTATTCAGCTTATTCAGCATTCTAATGGGGTCTTTTCAGTCAGCGCCAGTACATCACTGATTTGCTGCATCAATCTCACACGGATGCTACAAAACCTATTTCCTCTCCTATGGAGGTTCATCCCAAGCTCACTCGACATGATGGTTCTCCTCTTATTGATCCTATTGAGTATCGAAGTATTGTTGGCACTCTTCAGTATGTGTCAATCACCCGTCCGGACATCTTGTTTGTAGTAAGCAAAGTTTCTTAGTTCCTACAGGCTCCTGCTAATGATCACTGGGCATCTATGAAATGCATCTTGCATTACCTTAAACATACCATTATGCATGGTCTGAACCTCTCACGGACATCCTCAACCTCTCTTACTCTTCATGCTTTTTTCTGATGCTGACTGGGCAGGGTGTCCAGATGATCGCAGATCCACCGGAGGCTTTGCTATCTATTTAGGCCCTAATTTAATTGCTTGGAGCTCCCGCAAACAAGCAACAGTTGCACGTTCCAGCACTGAGTCTAAATTTCGTGCTTCTGCCACATCCACCAATAAGATGCTTTGGATTTCATCTCTTCTTTGAGATCTTGGAGTTACACTCTCTGCGATACCTACTATTTGTGTGACAACATTGGTGCCATCTATCTTGCTGCCAACCGTGTGTTCTGTGCTTGGACTTGGCATGTTGAGGTTGACTTCCATTTTCTCCGGGATCCGGTTCTTGCACGATAGCTTACTATCCGTTTTATCTCTTCCAAAGATCAGGTTGCTGACATTCTCACCAAGCCTCTTGCCGGTGATCACTTCTGCTTCTTGAGAGACAAACTCCATGTTCATGATGAGCATGGAGCTTGAGGGGGCGTATTAGAGTATATCTAGTATACCCAGTTGTGCATATCCTTAGGACTCCATCCTTAGGATAATTGTTATCCTAATGAGATGAGATCTGTTTGTTATGTTATTTGTTATCTTTGTTGGTTGTTATCTAGGACTCTATCTAAGATAGAGTTTCCTCTTTGTAGAACTCTTCTATTATAACTGCGCCCAAATATTATTTGTGTTCTCTGATTTTAATTCTCCGCCTCAAGTCTAACTTTAAACTTTAAGAACTTGAACCCATAAAAAAATGGAGCTTTATTGATAATCATGGAAAAAAACTAAAACTATTTTCCATATATGCGTCCTTCTCTGAACAGAACCATCTTTAACCATGATACAGAATTTGCCAAGAAAAAAAAATTACATACAAAAGAAGAATTAGAAAAAGAAAGATTGGCCAGGGGAACACATTTTTGTTCCTACAGAAGGCCTGTTACAGGTGAGGGACTAAAAACTGGCTTCTCTTTGATAGAATTGCTGCTGCTACTTTTCCTCCTGGGCTTTGCCTCTCCCAGCATTGTTATGACATCTCTCATGGAAGGTCTGTCCTTTGGGAACTTAGCAGTGCAGAGGAGTGCGATTCGAAGGACGAGGAGCATCTCTTCTTGCACATGCTTGCACTGACCCGCTATGCTGGGGTCTAGTGTTTCTTCCAGGGGCTTATTGTCTCTGATCTTTCCACGAACCCACTCAACTATGTTCACAGATTCTCCAAACTCTGGGTCCAATGGATTTCTTCCAGTAATAAGCTCCATAATTACAACTCCATAGCTGTAGATGTCGCTCTTTTCATCTACCTTCAGCGTGTATCCATATTCTGTCACACAAAAATGCAAATTTAGAATTGCTACTTGTGAATAAACTACCATATATGTTCCTGTAAATCTATTTGCAACTGATTAAGCAGTACTAAGCTGTTCTTCATCCCAAACCCATTAGCAGATCTCAACCATCCAATGGAAGGCAGAAGGAACTAAAAAAAGCTTAAAATAATGGGTCACATTGACTTTAAGCCTGAGCAAATCTACTCAAGGATAGATCCATTGATTCTGGGTATCAATAATTCACCTAGTTTGTCTTAAAATTGTAAGGTGATGACAGACAGCCATCCTTGTTTTTAAATACTTAAATTATTATATTCACACCACAGCCAACTTGCTCATCAGTACTGATCCGAGCAACGGTTACTTCCATATATATAAATTAATCAGGCTCTGTAAAAACAACCCAAATCAGTTAAATAGTTTGGTGAAATGAAACAATCAACTTTAGGTAAGATCAATTCACCTGGTGCGATGTAGCCGTACGACCCAGCAACCATCGACACAGTCTCGTTCTTCCGGAGCATCATTCTGGCCAACCCAAAGTCAGCAATCCGAGCTTCAAGGTTTGCATCAAGCAGGATGTTGTTGGACTTGACATCTCGATGGATGACGGGTGGGTGGCAGTCATGGTGCAGATAGGCGAGCCCTTGGGCCACGCCCGCTGCTACACTGTATCGTGACACCCAGTCGACCAACAGCCTCCCTGCTTGCTTCCCATGCAGAGCCTCCCCAAGGTTGCCATTGTGCATGTACTCGTATAGCATCATCACACTGGAATCATTATGAAGATAACCCAACAATCGAACGATGTTTCGATGTCGTAGCTTCCCTAGGAGATTGACTTCACCCACCAGATCTTCGTTGCTTCCAGCTTCGATATCGGTTGCCGACCTCCACAGTTTCTTCACTGCCACAACTGCGTGTGGGCGTTGAATCTCCGCCTTGTAGACAACCCCGGTTGAGCCCATACCGATCACATTTGATTCCTTGATGCAGGCCAGTATGTCACTACTTGTGAAGCTTAGTCTCTGGAAGGCCATCAGTCGCCATGGCCATTCTCCGTTGCCCATGTCGAACTGGTCTTGGAAGCAGCTGCTACCAAACAAGTACCATCTCTTGTATAGCAATCGTCCAGCAAAAACTGCGAAAACTAAAGCCATTAAAGCTGAAATTCCAAGGAGCCACCCGGCAACAATGTGTTTGATATGGACCTTTTGCCTGGAAGATGCCATGGCAGCACTCGGAGAACATGGAGGTAGAACACCTCCGCACAGGCCAGCATTTCCTATGAGTTCATCTGAGTTTATAGTCCTCAGTACCCCATTGGCGGGAACAGGACCTTGAAGCCTGTTGTAGGAAACATTGAACGTTTCTAAGGCTGGTGAGCTTCCAAAATTCCATGGTATCTCTCCAGTCAGAGAATTGTTGGATAGATCAAGAATGGCCAATGTGGACATGGTTGCAAGTGCTTTCGGGATTTCTCCTGTAAGCCGGTTGTTCCGAAGGTTCAAATTCACCAGCTTCAGGCATGACGCAATGCTTGAAGGAATGTTGCCGGTGAAATGATTTGTCGATAAATCGAGCACAGATAACGATGGGCAGTCCTGGAACTGGTCAGGAATCTCATTCTCCAAGTTGTTATTGGAGGCCATGAAAGTCTGAAGATTGGGCATGGTGAATATGCTGGAAGGAAGAGATGATTGGAGGCGGTTACGAGAGAGATCGATGAACGAAAGAGACGTCGAAGAGGCAATGTCTTCCGGTATGTCGCCGGTGAGGCTATTGTTTGCCAACTCCAGACGTTGCAGTTTGGCCAGTTTGCCAAATCCAGGAGGAATTATCCCAGAAATGAAGTTGTTTTGCATACGAACTCGGACTAATGAGAGGCATGTCGTTAAACCAATGGGGATTGGACCTGAGAAAGCATTGTCGAAGAGAATGAGTTTGGTGAGATTACGGCCACTACACAAACCAGCCGGGATCTCACCGAAGAACGAGTTCGACGATACGTCCAGCCACTGCAATGGCGAGTTCCGGCCGAGACTCTCTGGCAAAATACCTGTCAACGAATTGTTCCATAGCTCAAGGACCTCTAACTTGGTCAGTTCACCAAGTTTGCTAGGAACCGAACCCGTCAACTGGTTGCACATCAGATTCAATAGCTGAAGATTTTTCAACTCTCCTAACTCGGCCGGGATTGTGCCTGAAAACAGATTATCCGAGAGATCCAAGAACACCAATGATGTAATGTTTCCAATTTCGGGTGGAATCCTGCCTTCAAACTCGTTCTTATACAAGAACATTGTATTCAGTAGCTTTAGCCTCCCCAGTTCAGCCGGAATCTCGCCACCGAGACTGCCGAATGCCAAATCAAGATACCGAAGATTGGTGAGGTTACCAAGCTCCACCGGAATTCCACCTTCGAACTCATTGTATCCGAGAATGATAGTCTCCAGAGATGAAAGCTGCCCAAGCTCTGGTGGTATTCTACCAGTGAAATTATTACCGGAAAGACCAAGAAACTTAAGCTTCTGCAAATTCTTCAGAGACGTAGGAATTGAACCTTGAAAGAAGCTCCCTCTGAAATCTAGGCTCTCAAGTGACGTTGCATTTCCAAGGTCTTCAGGAAACAAGCCCACGAAATTATTGCTTGAAGCGTTGATACTAGTCAATCCTGCTGCCCTCCCAAGACCTGCCGGAAACTCACCCACGAAAGAATTCAGGCTGACATCGAGATGCTTCAGCTGGGTGAGATTGGATACCGCTTTTGGCAATGGCGAGGAGAACCCATTGCAGCAAATGTTGACGACTGCTAGACTTGGTAATCTTTGGATGTCATCGGAGACACGGCCACTGAGGTTCATGTAGGAGAGATCGAGCTTCTCAACGGCGCCATTGGAGTTGCACCAAACTCCAGTCCACTTGCAATGGCTGGGATTATTTACACTCCCATTGATCGGCCATTTCCAATCTCGAAGGTGATCCAACGGGTCGACGAGACTCGCTTTTATCGATAACAAGGCTGACACTTCCTCGATCGATGCACCGGGTGCTGCCGCCTTCGCATAAACAAGAGAAAAGCAAATGAAACAGAAGAAAAACACCTCCAGTCGAGTCTGCATTTTGCTTTTCTTGCTCGTTCTCTGTTTTTGGGCTTATTCTCGGCCTCGGGCCATGTTTTCTGTGGGGACGAAAAGAGGTGCTAACTGCTAAGGAGGTGAGTCGCAGAGGAAAGGAGCTAGTGATATATGATCAGAAATGAGAGATGGAAGATTAATTATGAGAGTTTTGATGGTGATTTAAAAAGGGATTAGTTTATAAGCTCGTGAGGTCTTGGGTTCTGCAACAGCTGTTAATCTGCATCTAATGACTGGGAAAACTTTGGACTTATTGAAAACTCCTCCGACATTAAGCATGGGGAGAATGTGTTAACTCACCGATTCGTTTCTTCTCTTCCTCCTTCCATTTCCATGCTTAATAGTCAACCTCTAAGTTACTCATGAGATAATCTCTCTCTCTCTCTCTCTCTCTCTCTCTCTCAATTGGTGGGTCACCCATTCAACCAAGATGAATGGATCTGATAATCATCTGAAATATGGACGGTTGAGGAAGGTGTGCATCATATATAGTCAATGAAGTAATTTCTCTCAGCAAAAACCTTTAGCTTTCAATTGTCTAGAAGATTATTATTATTAATGCTTAGTTAAGCACTCTACATGGGTGCAGAATCCAAAGTTGCAAGGTCAAATGATTTAGGTGTGTAAGCTTATTCTTTCTGATTAAGCTAAGTGACAATCAGTAATATGTCCCACTAATGAAGATTTAAGAATCAGTTCTAAGTAAAACACTGATAAACTGTTGCAACTTAAATTCTATTTTACTTCATCACTGGCTTCTCAAGTCAAGATCTTAACATGATTTAGGGAGGGCCCCACCACCATTCAATCATACCCAAGTGTGGAGACATCATTGGACAGTCATGAGTCATGTACATCCTCAACTTATTAACCACACCATCAAATGGTTTTTATCAATTGTGATTGGTATGATTATGGGCCTTAAACCAAGAACCCATAAGGACAAAATGACAAATCTCAAACGAGGCTAGCAAATTAAGTGATTAATTGGTCCTTAATTGAACAAAAATCTGGTAGATGCAGACCATGTGGGCCCCAAAATCTCATATTGGGATTTAAAAACATCCTATTCCCAGCCCATCTAGCCCAGTAAGTAGGTTGGTTACCCATCAAAAGGACACTAATATACCATTAATTAAGAGGGCTAGGATGAAAACGAACATGGATGAACAAGAAAGAATCTTTCCATGTTGTATGGTACACCCAAAATGGAAACAGAACAAAAAAATCCAAGTTTGTTTAACTTGTTAAATATTTGTTTAATGCAATGAGAGGGGATATGAAAAAATAGAGATTAAGCAAATAGGGAGAAATGGGGCAAATGATCCCCTAACCCTAAACAATAATGGGGTGGGCTAAAGTCTGTGAGCCCACCAACCGCCATTGATCCACACAAAAGAAAAAGAAAAAACAACTTCTTGCTCTCACATGCTCACATGTGACTTAGGAACTTATTAAAATGTGAGGAGTTCAGATAGAAAGGAAAAATGGTGCAATGGTCCATTAAAAGAAGATGGGGGCCATGTGAAAGGGCAGCTTCTTAGGGAAGGTCATCAGCCCCATTATTAAGGGTGTACTGTGGCCGTGGCCAAGCTACGGCCTCTCTAATATTTTAGTGATGTTTTGGGACTGTTTCCGAATCCATGGAAAGTGAAGGATAGGAGCTCCCACATGGGCTCATGGGCTGGGGGCTCATGCCTTATGCAAATCCCATTCCCACCCCCTAAACGTTTCATTCATCATTGTGGAAAGGTGTTGGAAATCAATTGAAAGGAGAAATGTTTCAAGTCTAATAATATCATTGCCCATGTGCATGGAGTAAGGGCCCCACTAAGAGAGCATCTCTGCCAAGAAGGGATCTAATTGGTGTAAAGTAATGGGTCCTATTTTTGATCGATTCTCATCAAAAGATTGCAAGGGTTTCAAAAGGGGCCACTTACTTATACACCCCTAAAGTTTTTTTTATTTTTTTATTTTTTTTATTTTTTATATCTCCTACACTATAGTTTAGGGTGTTATTAAAACATCCCTATACTTTGCAACCGCTTTACTTAATTGACCTTATTCATATGACAGCAATACGCAGAGGTAGCTTTTAGTAAAATGGGAAACTGTAAGGGTGTGAATGCAAATGACCATTTATATTTCTAGAGTAACACTTAGACAATAAGACATGTCTAATAGGCTCATCCACGTGCACTAACATAAGCAGATGGACCCACAATTACATGGGTCCCACAAGAGGGCAATGGAAATCAGATGGAATGGATGGGTCCCAATTGCGTGATCTGCTTGGCCCAATAAATTAATCCCATCCCATGGTACGATTATGAGTAATAAGTTGTTGGATAGGTCCAATGTTGTTGTAGTGGCCGCACATGCTACATGTGAAAGCTTAGAGTTGTTAATGGATTCTCATATCCCATCGGATTGTGGTATCTTTTCAATCTCATTCTGGTGTTGGATCCATCAGAATCTCAACGTCTCTTGTCCTCCAATGGCATTTTTTTTTTTATTTTGCATTTTCATTATGGCAGGATTTTAATTCCCAGTTTAGGAGTACAAATACAATATGTAGAGTATAAAATTTTTTATTTTGTATTATTTTGTATGTATTTATATTATACATATTTGTATATTTGTATTTATACTCATTTCAAATTCAATTTGGAAGGAGTACAAATGCAAATATGTAAAGTGCAAAACCTTATATTTTATATTATTTTATATATATTTGCACTGTGCATATTTGCATTTGTATTCTTTCCAAACTGAGCCGTAGGAAAAAATCTGATAAAAAAGTGGCTATTTCTTTCATTCGGCTTTCATTTGTATTTCATACCTTTTCTTTAAAAAAGTAAAGAAATCAAGAAAGAGAGTAAGAGGAATCAAAATTGACACACCTTCATCTAAAAAAAGAAAAAGAAATTTCTTTTCATTTCCCCCCTATTTCTCTTCCTCTTTACTTTATTTTATTTTGGTCCATTTTCATTGGATCCACCGATCCAAGCACAGTGTAAGTTGTATGGATGGTTAGCAATAAAATCCTATTTCTTTGTATGACCGGAACTATTAGAGCCTAGAGGTATCTCTAGAGGTGTAAAATGGGTCGTGCTGGGCTGGTACGATACGACCCGCGTGTGGCCTGTGTAAAGTGCAAGCTGAGCCAGGCCGGGCCACGGGTCATCTCGGGATGTGCCTCTCTCCCATGTGATATTTTGGGGGTCGGCCTGGCATGGCCCATGACCTGAGCCCGCATGGGCCTGTGCTGGGCCGGGACGGGTCGGGCTGGTCCGTGGGCCAAACCTTGGGCTAGGCTGGACCATGCACTGGGCCAAAGTTATTTATTTTAAAAAATTGATAAAAACTTAAAATTTTAATTTTATATGAATTTTGATGTATACAATTGCTTATATATATAATTAAATAAAATAGTATAGTAAAATTAAAAAAAATATATTTTTTATTAATATATTATATACTATATATTATTATATAATTATAATTTATATAATATATTATATATAAATATATAAAATATATAAATATATAAAATATATAAATATATAAAATATATAAATATATAAAATATATAAATATTATATATTATATAATATATAATATATATGGGTCGTACTGGCCCGACATGGTCCATTGACCCATACAATTGTGCTGGGCCATTGCACGGCCTGTGGTCCACTAGGTCGGGCCAGGCCGGCACACCCGATTTACACCGCTAGGTTTCTCATTAATCATGACCACTTTTAACAAATATGTGACAAGGAAAAAAACAGATTTAAAGCAATTTTGGTTCAAGTATTTGGAATAGAAAAACATAAATTAAAGAAGATAAGAATAGAAAAAATGCTGTTAGATTTTTTGGTTGTAAGCATGTTTTGAAAAGTAACTACAAATATGATAAATCTTCTCCCTTCCCTTTCATCGTCACAAAATAAGCAGGGAGTAGAGTCGAATACAATACAGTCAAGCAATTTGACTAGAAACAAAAATAAATAAATAAATAAAYAAATAACTTTTTTTGGTAGGACCCGTTTGATTCATAGTTGGAATTAGAATTAAAATGGTCTATTCTCCTGTTTGATTCAGACTGCTCGAGAAGGGAGGGAGGGGGGAATGACCATTCCCTCGAAAGAACACCATTCCACCAAAAATGAGAATCGGATTCCGATTCTTCTCAGTCAAATAGTTGGACTGATCTCAAATCCTTATTCTCGTAAACCAAACGGATACTTAGTATTCCATTTTTTTGTTTAAAATTTATAAATTGCTAGCGAATAAGGAGGCATGCGATCAAACCCGCGTAGTTGCATGTACTTCAGAGTAGGGACAGTGGATGTTACGTACACTCTGATTCCTACCCCTTAAAATAGTGGTGCAATTAGGTTTTTGTCAAAATTTCAATGGGTCCAACCTGAAACCCAAATTCGAAACAATATAAACTATTACCTCGGGCCAAACTTACTTGCACCACACTATATAATCTGTAATATTAATGCCAAAAAAAATACCGGATGATATTCCAAAATCAATGAAAACTTCTTTCTTTTATATTTTTTCCTTGTATAAGTTGAGGAATTTTAATAAATAATGAATTTATGAAATTTTTAGATGCCTAAAAGCCCTAAGCCCATGAAAAAACGCTACAAAACAAAATTAGGCAGTTTCTATTGGATTTTAATCTCATAAGAGATTAAATCCAATGAATTTSATTGGTCAATTACATGAGAAATTGCACTTGCATATTTGATTAAAAATTTAGTTTTTCTCTTATAAAACCTAGTTTTGAACTTGTCCGACATTGGAAAATTATAAGCTTTGTTTTCAGTATTTTAATAGGAGCTGATTTACACTCCTTAGAAATAGTAGATGAGAGTATGAGGGTTTGATACCRCGCAACGCGCGCACAGCGTGTGCGTGCATGTGTGCAGCGCAATGAGGCGCTTTATAGGCGCACTTTGCTCACACCCGCATGGCTCGCGAAGGGCGGCTTTGGTTTTGATGCGATGCTGACCATTGATCACCGTTGATGAGATCAATGGTCATGATTCAATCGGGTGTGATCAAGAGGCATAATTCAAAGTTATCAGTCATTAACTGTTAACCACTTTTTAAATAGTCACAATGTTTGAAATTGTAACTGTTCAAGGTGCCTTCTCTGAACCAGCACCTACCTTTTCTTCATGCCTATTCATAAACTATTTAAGGAGCATGAATCAAACTTCAAAAACACACATTTTCGAAATCCACTTTCTCTCTCTTTC